AAGATGTTCTAACATGAGGGGGCTCAGGAGATGGCTCAGGCAGTAAGTACAGCATTTGCCACGCAGGCATGAGAACCCAAGTTCAGCTCCCCGGCCTCCAGGGTAAAAGTTGGGTTTGGTTATGTGTGCTTTAATCCCTGTGCTATGGGGGAGAGACAGGAGGGTCCCCGAGGCTTATGGCCCAATAGTCTAGCCGTAGGGAGAGACCCTGTGTCAGCCCTAGGGTGGAGAATGACCGAGGAAGATACCTCATTTCTGCGCACACATGAACATCAGGGTAGAAGGCTGGCTTTCTGACATGAGGGGCTGTGGAGACATGTCAGGGTAAACAAAGTCATAGAGCTACATACATGGAGAGCCTGCCTGTTTTCAAATTATAAATATGACATAGATGTGTATTACTATGGTTATACATACAAACGTACCCTTACGCTGACAGTCATGCTTTCTCAAAGGGTCACATTCTACTGCACAGATTTCTGTATTACTTGACTTTTTTCATAATGAGACTATATTACCCCAGTTTATTTAACGAATAAAATAAAATTCTAAGTCCTGCTGGTCTCGAATGGGGTCAGAGTGTTAGTGCTTAGGGAGAGGTGAAAAAAGAAGTGACATTTTCACAAAGGAAATATGGACAGGGCCCTGGGTTTGGCAATGCACAAGGACAGCATGACAAGCCACTGGCTGAAAGACGGTCACGGTCCTCAGGAGCCTGGGGTCTGAGGGGCACAGGCTAGCCAAGAGTCTGTCAGCTGGGTGACAATACTTCTGAAGCACAGAACACAGTGGCTTTGTCAGCTGCCGTGAGCAGAACTGGATTTCAGAACAAACCCCTCCGTGCCCCTCGCTGTCTCCCCGTAAACTAGGAAGGACCACAGTACCTGTTCCGCAGATCCAGCATGCTAATATAATAGGCACCGGTGAAGTGCTAGCGACTGTCACAGAGTCCGGTGGCAGGCATGCAGATGTATTCTTAGCTCCCAGCAAAGTAGGTTATGGTATAAAAATACCATTAAATAGTAACTAAACTAGCGTCACCTTAATGCGCATCTTGCCAGCAAAGCCAGCATGTGCGATTTCTTTTTAAATTACCCTATATTAGAGAATCAAGACCAGGGCTCATTCTGAAGAGCAAGCCATTAGGCAAAGGCCAGAGGTCCAATTATCCCATCTCCTCAGATGATGTGAAGCCCACTCTGGCCAAGTCCTGAGACTCAGCTCCCAGGCAGGAGTCCCAGCCTCTGCTTTCATGTGAGCAAGTAGTCCAGGCCCAGGGCACCCAATACAACACAGAATAGTGTAGGTGGCACGGTGGGCACAAGCAGATGGGGGGGCAGCCCTAGCAAAGGCTCTGAGGCAAAGAGGGTGTGGGGTCCTCCAAGGCGGGAGGGAGAAAGCCAACACAAGAGGAAACACAAGATTCCTCCTGTACCCAACCCAGAACAAGGTAGCATCCGACGCTGAGCTGCCCCAGATGTCCTAAGTTTATTAAGTATCCAGCAGGCCACCCAGCGGTCCAGAGCAGGTCAGAAGAACCAGCAACAGCAGGCAGTGCACAGACACCCCAGCCCGCAAGGGATGCTGACTGGGGGCAGGAGACGGAGTCAAGGACACATTAAGGTCAGCTCTGGGCCTAGGGGGTGGGGCCAAGAGTGGTGGCCATTCTCTGGGCTGAAGGTCAAGAGTGGTCTCCAGAGCCCAGGTTCGGTGAGGTAGCGAGTCACCATAGACGCTGTCATAAAAATAACATTAAATAGGAACTAAGCTATAGGCCAAGATCCCAATGCCCTCTCTCCCAAAGTACGTGTGTCTATGAACCCCCAAATTATATCCAAACCTTACAGAAGTGCTTTTCTCCAGGGAGACCACCTATATTTTAATAAGACAACCGTCCTCAAAAAGTGGAAAATTCACATGCATTAATACAGAACTTGATGCCTTTCTATCGTCGGCACTTCCTATCAGTCAAAGCCAGGGCTGGCGCATCGGGCTGGGAGCCAGTGGAAGTGGGCACGGCAAGGCATGGTAAAGCCTCACCAGGAACCCTACCACCGGCAGCCATGTGCACAGAGTTGGTCATGTGACGAGGGAGGAGGAACAGGAAGGAGGCAGCCTTGATTACATGGTGCCCATACCATGATCACCACATGGCAGCCACGGCCACGTCCTGTCAGAGCCACGGATGTCTGCAAGACAATCCTAACAGAGTCAGCTCTGGATTTTCACATCAAGTTATGAGAAACCGGGGAATGATCATATGTTGATAGGGATATGAAGGCAGCGAAGAACGGGAATGCTTGAGCCAAGAGAGGAGAAAGCGGGCTGTTTAATATTTATTTGTAATGCATTACTTGCTATAATTTTAAGACAGGATTTTAAGAAAAAGTGATGAACAATTGTCAGTTCTGGGAAAAAGAGACACCAATGCTTATTGTTCCCAGGGTTTCTGAATTTTTAAAACACATCCAATAAGAAAACAATTTACAGTACCCTAATGCAGCCCCACGTGGACTGGAGGCTCCCCCACTTTGCACAGTCCTTGCTCTGGGTTCATGGAGCTGCACCCCAGCCTATGAATCCCCAGGCAAGAACTAGCTGCAAAGAAAGACACATGCTGAGGTGTCTCACGGGCAGGGCCCCAGAGAGCCATTCCCCTCTGCCAGCCCACCTGCTGCCCAGGCCTGGGGAAGGAGAGAAAGCCCAGAGCTGCCACCAGACAACCAAGAGCAGCTGTGGGACTGGGACCAACCCTTTGGCCAAGCAGGGGACTCAGCATCTCCTGACTGGAAGCCAGGAGCTACAGCTTTAAATAAACTTGGATGTGTCTACCTGGGGCTGTGAAACGGCACCAGCTGTGCCCCAGGCAGGCACCGTCAACAACTAGCCAACATGGCTACTGGGGACGGGTGTTAGGGGGACTGGTGAGCTCCCACAGTTTATCCTGAGGGCAACATCCCCTACATTCCTCTCCTTGCCCATCCCTGGGGCCTGGCATCTAGCAGTCTCCACAAAGGTATGCTGGGCTGAGCTGACCACTCCTGACTAGCTGGCCTCTCCACACCAGGCTTGGGTCTCACCCTGGCACCTGTGTGGCGTCCCCACACTTGGGTGAGTGTTCATTCTTTTGTACCTGAGGAGGAGCTGGCAGTCTCAGCTCTCACCTGTGCCTAATGCAAATGTCACCCTTCAGCCTGCACTCCCCAGCGGGGGTGGCAGGCAGCGACCACTTTACACTGCTGCTCAGCACAGGACAGCTCGCACCAAGGTGGAGACGCAGACCAGCTAGGTGACCTGGAGGTTATGGTCTCTTGACATGGACTGCTAGGAAGATACCAAGAGGCCCAGTGTGGGGATACAGGCTTCTGGGCACACAGAAGGATACAAGTAGGTTCCCTAGGAAGGAGAGACTTCCTGCCCCGCAGCACAAGACAGCTGTTGAGGAAATGGGCAAGTCCCCTCCTCTTAAAGCATCAAGAAGGTCTGAAGGGTTGCCCCCTCCATAACCTCGAGGCTGCCTCACCCCCACCTGAGGACTCCCAGCCATCACCTCTTCCTCGCAGAGTACAGCCCCCACTGGCTACTGGTAGCTTCTTCAGTGACTCCAAGTACGAGAGGAATATGGCCCTGGAGAAGGAGTGCCGGGACGGCTGTTCAGGTCCACCCAGCCTCGGTCCTTGCAATCTGGCATAGGCTTCCTCCTGCCACTCCACTTGGCTCCTCACCGCCACCCCCCCCCCCAAGCCTGACCCAAATCCTCTGGGCACGTGCAGGAAGAAGTGGGGAATGCACACCCCCCACACTCCTCCAGCTGGGCCCTCCACAATTATCAATGATCAGCGTCCCTCGCCCACCCAAGCTTTCAGACGCTTTTTTAGTAAAGGGGGAAAAAAGGATTTGCGGCTGGATGTGTAAGAGGAAATCTCGCCAGCGCCCCCACGGTGCAGGAGGGATGGGGGAGGGGACAGGGAGTGGGAAGGAGGACCCAGCTCTGGAGTTATGCAGCTAGCACCTAAGGATGCCCCTGCAGTCACCTTAAATCCCACATAGAAGCTCCAGGCCTGACACGAGGCTCCTGGGGGACTTTGGTGTTTCAGGTACCCTAGGGGCAAAGGCAGGTCTGGACGCTTTAAACCATAGCTTAACCCCCATATTGCTCGTGCTGCGGAGCAGGTCTTTGCGCCAGGGCACCTGTTCCCCACGAGGCCCTACCCGAAATACGCCTTCAGAGTCCCTCCCCCAGCCCTCCCATCACAGGAGGAAAAAAAATAACATAAAATAAAACGGACCAGAAGCCAACCTCTGTCTGCCTCGATGACCCTGAAATCAGAGGCCCAACTGGTTCCGGGCTCCACTCTCTCACCCACCACCCCATGGCCTGATCCTGGCTCCCTGACCTCGTCCACCCCCTCCAAATTCTTGTTTCCAGAAGAATCTGGGGGAAAAAAAAAACCCTCCAGAACCCAGATTCCCCAAGGGACCCAAGGCAGAAGCTGCTCCCACGCTGCTCCCCCAGAGCAGATGGGGCCACGCGAGGAGCAGGCGCGGAGCGGGTCCGCCACCGCTGCCGCCAGCCGCTAAGGTGGGGGTGAGGACAGGACCGTGGACGACCCCCTGGGGCAATGGCCGACCCCTCGGGCACTCTAGGCCTGGCAGCCGCCCCCGCGTATCGCTTGTCTCTGACCTCCCCGCCGCCAAATGCGTCACGTCTGCCCGGCGCTCAGGGGACACCTGCTGCCGCCCCCGCCACGCCGAGTCCAGATCCCGGAGTCTCGGTCCCAGCCAAGCTTTGGCACTGGGCAGGGCCGAACGTGCTGCGGTGGGGCAGCAGGGGTCCAGAACCCGAGCCTCGGGGGTCCGGGCGGCACAGGGCAGTGAGCTTGGGCCCGCAGCCCTAAGGAGCCGGGGGCGCGCGGGGCCGCAGTGCGCGCGGAGCCGGCGGCGATGGGGTCCCCGCTCCCCGGGGTCTGCGGACAGCCCGAACGCGCTGAGGCTCTTACTTGCCAATATCTTCGTACAGCTGGTACTCGTCGGTGAAACGGGTGCAGGTCACCGTGGTGGCCATGGCGGCGGCGATCGGACTCGGCGTGCGCTCGGCTGCGCTCGGGCGGCGGCGACTCCGGCTCCCGCTCGCGGGCACGGCGGCGACACGGGCGCGGGCGCGGGAGACACCTCGGCTCGCGGCGCCGGGCGGGGGCCGGGCTGGGCTGCGCCGGGCGGCGAGCGCACGCGAGATCTGCTCGCTCTGTCCCCGCCAGGAGCGCGCCGCACACCTACGCGCGCAGAGGCGCGGGCGCCGCTGTCGCCGCCGCGCCCGCCCCGCCCGCGGCCCCTTGCACGCGCCTCACCCGCACCCTACACACGCCTGCACCCGCACACACACTGCACCCGCGCCTTGTACCTGTACTAGCGCCCGCGCCTGCACGCGCACTGCGCCCGCACCCTGCACCCGCACCGCGGCTCCACTCGCACACACGTCGCGCCCGCGCCGGCACCCGCACTGCGCCCGCACCATGCAATCCCACCCGTGCCCGCGCCCTGTCCCAGCACATGGGCTGCACCACGCGGTGCCCACGCACTGCGTCTGCCCCTCTAGGCCCGCGCCCTGCACGGACAAGCCACTGGGCCGGCTTTTCCACTGCTGCAGTTGAACTGTGAACCCAGACTCTCCTTCCCCTAACGGCCCACCTACCCTAAATAGAAAGAGAGAACTACACCCCATTTGGGAAGGGTCATCAGTTGCCCTCCGCTGGGGTCCTCTGTTCCCCGTACCCTCATAAGATGCTGCCCGACTCTCTCTGCCTGGCCTGGCAGAGCTGCCCAAGAGTCTCCTGGAGAAATGGGAGGAGGGGGAAAGGATGAGGTTTGCTGGCAGTGGTCCCAAGCCTCTTCCCTGCTTCTCCTGAGATTGGTGATTAAGGTGCCTTCTGTCCTGGGGTGAACAAGTCCAGATGGGGCCTTGAGCCAGCAAAACAGGGGCTGCTCTGCTCTTGTCGGGGATTCCAGTTGCCCAGATAGCTTGGTCCAGCCCTTTGCCTCTGCTCTGGCCAGAAAGAGAAGCCTCCATTCTTTCTCCTCTTTCCAGTCTCTCTTGAAAGTGGCCCTGAAGAAAGGGGGACACAGGCAGATTCCCACAAAAGCATCCCTTTGGCCAGCATCCCCCAACTAGACTCTTTGTGTCTAGGGCCAGCCCCGACACTCCAGTCAGCTTGGATAGCCTTGGCAGGCACCTTGATTCTTTTCCCTTACTGATTCCCCAAGAGCAGATTTGGTGGACATCCTAGCAAGTGTCTTCTTAGATGAAGGAGCAAATGGTTCTTTGCTGGGCAGCGAGGGGTCTTCCCAAAACGCAGATTTGACAGAGTGCTGCCAGGTGACAACAGGCTTCCTGGAAAGTCCCTATCGTGGGTGACCAGACTCAGCCTGAGAAGTCCAACAGCTAGAGAACAAGAGACACTCATGGGCAAGTACATCCCATTCAGAAGCTGAGAAAACAGGAATCCTTGCCTTGACATCAGCAGGACCCAAGCAGGAAGAGAAACCCCATTGTGCCAAAAGGTGTGAGCTTAGACACAGAGGACCCCACGCCAGCAACAGGCCTGGGGAAGGGTGGGGAGAGGGTGAAGGTCAGACTGAAGCTTGCTCTTGGGACTGCTGCAAGCTCTGTAGCACCTGCTGAGAGCAGCTGCAACAGCTCTCTCTGAGCTGGGGGGGGGGGGGGGGGGAGAGGCAGGCTGCACAATGGAGTACAATTAGCAAAACAAACAAAACAAAATTGCACCCCTGGTGAGTTAGGCTGTCTTCAGGCTACCAAGTCACACACCCTCCCACCAGTGGTCCTGGTGTCTGAATCTTCTTGGTAGCTGCCCTTGACTGTACTTGCCTGAATGTTACCCATATTTTACTGTTCAGTTCTCAATCTATTACCACTTTATCCTAGCCGGGACAACACAGAGACAGTAGATGTAACTTTCCAGACAGTCAAGCAAAATGTCCTGGGGGTCTCGGAGCTGGGGAGAAGGCTCTTGCTGAACAAGCATGGGGACCCAAGTTCGATCCCCAGAAACTATAATGTTTTGTTTTGTTTTCTGAGAAAGGGTTTCTCTGTGGAGCCCAAACTGTTCTGGAACTTGCTCTGTAGACCAGGCTAGCCTCAAACTCGGAGATCCATCTGCCTCTGCCTCCCAAGTGCTGGGATTAAAGGCATGCGCCACCAACCACCCAGCTGTGTGTATGTATTAGTATTTTTGTTTGTGTGAAAATAAAGAGCAAGGGGGGCCTGTAATGCCACTGGAGATGGAGATGGAAGGTCCTGGGGCTTACTGACCAGATTAACTAAATTGGCAAGCCCCAGTGAAAAATTCAGTTAAAAAAAAGTTGGAAAGTGACCAAGGAAAACAGACATTGACCTCTGGCCTACACATGCTTACATGGAACACATACATATACACACATTTATAAAACAACAAATTCATTAAAAAAACAAGAAGTGGCTAAGATTTTCCATAAAGCCTCCCTTGCATCTTATTTTCACACAAACATATTGAACCTAGCCTGGTCTACAGAGCAAGTTACAGAACAGTCTGGGCTACACCGAGGAATCCTGTTTCAGAAAAAAAAAAAAGCACGCACACACATGCACACAGACATGCACATACAAAAACATGCACATAAGCACACATAAGCACCATATATATACACAAAACCACAGAAATGTACACAGCAACACTCTGGGTGCTGTTTTGTTGGGTCACCTTCAAAAGAGGATAGGTGGTGTTGTACGAAAAGTTGCAGTCACTGAAGAGTGCAGTCTGAAGCCCGCTTTGCCCTCAGCCTCTCCCCTCACTCTATTCCTGGGAGCCCCTGACATTCCCCTCCTCCAGACTGAAGCATTAGAGGCAACACTTGGAGCCACCCAATGGGTCAGGAAGGGCAGATAATGCAGCCTTAGACGATGGGGAAGAGGTGGCTGCCAGAGGCACGCAGGCTCTCCTTGCCCAGATGTCAAAGCCCACAGTCTACCTTCAGGCCCAGAGGACTCCTCTCTGGCAAAATGAAAAGGCTGGGAGGGAGACAGGTTTCCAGCTGTGACTTTTTCTGCTCCTGGACCCCAGCAGCCTTCTCATCTGGCTTTAGCTCTGGAGCAGAGGAGCAGACTCCTCCCTCATCCAACCTCTTCCTCCACCTCCCGCCTCCACCCTCTTCCCTTATCCCCGTGTCATCCCCACCTCCCACAGTGTCCCTCTGGGCTCACTTTTGTAAGCTAGGAGGGTTCTCCCTCCCAGGTGGCAGCTGGGGTGGTTGTGGGGAATATCAGTTCTGGAAGGTTATTGTTAGGACAGTCACCATGGCAACAAGCATCACATCTGCAGAGCCACAAGTGATGCACATGGAGCTCGTTCTCCCTAAGAAAACCACTACTTTCTGATGCCTTTACCGCCAAGGTCTGCTGCCGTGAAGGGGTATGCCACCACTCGCACCGTCCACAGGCATGGCAGCCTGCCCAGTAAATCAGCCTGTGTTTTCTGAGCAGCAAGACGAAAGCCCATCAATTCCCAGGCCACGCTGTAGCCAGCGTACGAGGTGGTGGCAGCCATGGTAGGGGTGGTGATGATGATGGTGAGATTAGCAGTGATTGTGGTGGCGGTGGCAGTAATGGATGACAACAGACTGACCGGCTTAGGATTCCAAGCTGGTCCAAGATTGGCATCCAGATCCGTCTTTAGAACTAGATGTTTATCTATGATGCTGTGCTCAAGAGTGACCCTTGTTGCTCTTGGTGCAGTTGCTGTGTGCCAGTGTGTGCATGGACCTGCCCAGGTATGGAGTCACACCAGTGAATGAAAAGGTAGTCGTGCCTATAGGGCGTATACGTCTGACCTGGCAAGAGCACGAAATAGCTTTCCACAATAACACTTGATACATGATAATGCTCGCCCCCATGACTGCTTGACATTTCATGATTTCAGTGGCCCCAACCAGCTACAGTCAAAAAAAAAAAATCCTAAATGGCAGATTGCAGAAAGAAATGATCCTTCCACTTTTCAATTGCATGCAGTCCCAGGTAGAGCGCGGCTACCCTAGGTCCTGTCCTGGCTGTGCAGCATCCTTTGGCACTGCATCTCCACGCTATATTGTATGTATGCATGGGACAAACAGCACATAGGGTCCAGCGCTATCCATGGCCACCGGAGGCCTTGGAATGCCACATGTGTGCATTTGGAACACCACATGTATGCACACGCGCCCTTTATGATGAGGCTGGAGAAGCTAGTCTATACAGATTTAAAGTAAAGTAACCTGCCAAAGGGTGACCGGTAAGAGGGTGACCGGTAGTGCCTTCAAAGTGGGTGTTTGTGGAAGACGGTGACATGTAGCTTGAGGTCTGAATGGCGCGGAGAGGATGGCCTTCAGAGCATGAGAGAAAAAGATGCTGGCAGAAGAGGCAGCTATGCCAAGGCCCTGTAGGTGGAGTGGGCTCATGTGTTTAAGGAAAAGAATAGGGAGAGCGAGCCAGAAAAAGCCCCACTGTGTTTTGCTGGTGGTTCCTCTGTAGTAGAATCTGTCTGGCCTATGGGTTCTCCAAGAGATGTGAGCCTGCCATTACTGCCAACAGCGGCCTGATAGATAGAGCTCTCTAGTCAGCAATGACCCAGAGGCCTGGCTCTAAGGTTCAGCCTGAGGGCACCAGACGGTAACTGCAGACTTGCTCTCCACTAACCAGGCACCAAGCTTAAAGTGGACACTGCCATGTCCAGAAGAAACCAGACCATACCCCTGACTGGGGGAGGGAGGTGAGAGCAGTCCCAGTCAACCCGCTCCCAGACTGCTGCTTGGCATCTCCTGCACGCTGTATGGGCTTCCCCTCTCCTGCACGCTGTACGGGTTTCCCCTCTCCTGCATGCTGTACAGGCTTCCCCCTCCTGCACATTGTATGGGCTTCCCCTCTCCTGTAGGCTGTGTGGACTTCTGGCTATTTGAGATTCCCTGAAGCACTCCTATTACTCCCTGGCCCCTTGGTGAGTGGACTCCTTCAGTGTGACCTCACCATGCCTATTCTGGTTGATGTCACCTTTGCTCTCTTGGAACGGCCTCAGGCCTGGACATAGAACCCAGGAAACTCTTCCCAGCTCAGCACTTCCCAAGCAGTTATACTAGCAAGAATGACCAGACTGACAGGACAGGTGCAAATGGCCAGGTGGAGCCAGGGACAGTGGACACTAGGGGCTTGCCATCATGGGAACTCCCTACTCAGGGAGGGGAGGCAGCAGACTCACACTGAAGCCACATCCCATGCTATCCTAAGCAGCCTGATCCACGGACAAGCCGACTAAACATGAGAGGCCTGGAGCTGGGCTGGGC